CACGCCGAGGCGATCTGAGCGGAGACCTGCCCCGCGCGCGGTGTGACCTTGGGCAAGACGCTGACCTCGCCTGGACTTCACAATGCCAGTTCTCAGGAAGGGAGCGTACGGCTTCCCCGCACTTAAGAATCTGGGCGAGTTAGAATGGCCGGTTTATGGTTTTCTTAAGTTTATTAAAGGTGCGTGTGGGCATTTTTTTCTTAGGCCACTTCTTTGGAAGGTTTTTCGCTGTAGGGCGGCGTGCGAGGAGAGGGAGGTGCTTCTAGACTTTGGACCACGTGGAGGTGGGGTGTGGGTTGGGGGTGGTGGGCAGCTGTGCGTAGTCCTCGGGGTGGGGGTGAGGAATGCAGACTCGCCCCTCCCTATCCCCCTCCACCCGCTCGGCCGGCGACCCCGCAGCCCATCGGAAAAACTACATGCTAGGGCACATTTTATTGTTATTATTTTGCGGGGGGGAGCGGGTGGTTTGGGCAGGGAGCTCTTTCTATCCTCGCTAATGGGCGCTGCGCTCGGTTAAGTGTTTGGTACCGTCGCCCACCCGAGACCTGGGGGCGAACTAAAGCCGGCGTGCCCCCAAAGGCACAGGCCCCGAGGGAGGCGGCGCCCCGGAGTTTACTGTAGTTAGGTGCGATAAAGAATCCCCAAGTTAGAGCGATGAGAAATTCAGCTCTATTTTGGTAGATGGCCTTGTTTCAGTGTAAAGGGGAATTCATTCTGTCCTGCACATACACTGTACTGTGCTGAAGATGAGAAACCCCGAGAAGGGAGAGCGCTGCCGCCGCGTGGCCCGCCCAGCCCGGGAGCTCAGGTCATCAAATAGACGAAGTTAGCCGCCGCCTGGACAGGGAAGGGGGGTGTCCACAGGACCATGGCCTGGCCTGGTCCCCGGGCCGCGGTCAAACCCTCCTCCCCCACCCCCCTTGTCCTCGCCGGCTGGAGATCAAACGGGTGACCAGACAGCTGTCTTCCTAGTCTGCCCGGGGGTTTCAGGTCCTGCCCAGGGCCTGGGCGAGGAGCAGTGGGGTTGGGGGCAGCTTTTCTGCAGGTGGCAGGAGTTGTCAGGGGTGGCGGGGCGGGAACTGGGGAACCCGAGTATCTTTGGAGATCCGGCCACACCTACTTCTGGGTCAGCACGCACAAGTTCCTGTCCCACGTGTTGCACCCCTGCCCAGGTACCCCCATACTTCCCACAGACCCTGGCCTTAGAGGGAGGAGTTAAAGGGGCGAGGTGGTGGGAGCACACGGATTCGGGTGAATACTGTTTCCAGAATGAGACTCAAACCAGGTCT